TACATATATATATATATATATGTATATGTATAAAGAGAGTTATACATACAGATCAAGGATCTAACGGTCAATAATCTTCCACGTGTAAACGAATATTCCATAGAACCACGATCGGTGGATTCTTCGTTTCTACCGCTTTCTTCTTGACCAGACATCTCGGCGACCACTTGACGGCTTTCATATAAGTCTTCTTCATCGCCCTCTCGATTGTTTTCCCTTTTTGTAAGACGAAAGTCGCAAACTTTTCTCCACCCACAAATCCTCGATTCAATCGTGTTTAATGGATACATCCTCCTTCGGCTCACATTTCTCGTCGTTTTCTTCCCGATTCTTGTTGCTCTTCTTCTCCAGATTCCGCGCTTCGATCCCCTCTTGCTCTACAGTTTCCTATCGTCTTTCTCCTGCTCACCCGTCTCGTTTTCAGATTCTTTGTCAGCCCTTTTGACGTTTTTTTGAAGTCTTTGAAGGAAGTAGTCACCGACCCATCATGGGGAAGCGTAAGTTTCTGGCTTTGATTCTCTCTCTGATGGATTAATTTAGCTTAATTTGACCTGGGTTTCTTGTTTTAGGGTTTAATCGGGTTTGAATTGTTCTTCCGTTTTCGTCGCTTTGTTCAATTTTTCCTATCGTGTTATCAATCATGTTGAGGTGACCCTAGAAATCTTCCCGATTCAGATTCTGAATTTCTGGGCTTTTGTAGCTTCGTTTTGAAGAAAACATTTTGGATTTTGAAGAGACAAACGATTCACGAGCTGATAAAATATGGCAGGATCTCAACGGAAGAACGCTGCAATGTTCGATAGCGACGATGATACTAGTAGTATTAGCTCTAACTCCACTATTCGATCCGATAGAATGTCGGTTTCCGGCATGGATGAAGTTCAGGTTCACAAAGATGCTTTGTTGGATCAAGCCCTGGATGCTCTCTACGAAAAACGGTGGGTTCCATATCCAAATCTTGCTGATTCACTCCTGGTTTTGCACTGGTTTCCTGGTTCAGTTTCTCTTGAGTTTATTGTAATTGGATTTGTATGAGAAAGATGTGTTTGAAAACTGGGGTTTTTATATGTTTTCAATTGGTTCTTGATTGGAAACTGATGTTTGATTCTCTTTTGGGACGAAGGAGTTCAACGAGGGAGCAAGCTTTGGCTTCGATAGTCGATGGATTCAACAGTGACTTGCAGCATGAGTTTGTGGAAAAGAAGTAAGCGTTCTCTTCTGTTTTTCCTCCATCTTTTTTCTGCATGGTTTGGACTAAGCTTCGTGTTGTGTAAATTTACTATTATTTCTTTAAAACATATTTTACAATGCCTTAGCTATCCATATTGCAAACTTTAGATGTTTTCTTTGTAGATGTTTTCGAGAATGGAAATGTAATTTTGTAGCGTAGTTTGGATGAACTCAAATAACCCATGTTGAGGTTTCCTTTCTGATTAGCTGCTTTCGATGTGGATGACTTAGACGCATATATACTCGGTCTCTACACATGCTTAGGGTTTTTCGTTTTCTTATTTCGGTAAAATGGTAAATGGGGTTTTAATGATTCTTCTTAATGATGCAGGTTTGCAACTTTGTTGCATCAATGCTTAAACTGCATCAAGAAAGGGTCTAGTAGGGAGACCTTTTTAGCCACTCGTGTTATTGGTTAGTCCTTAGGAGCAAACAACTTTTACGTCTCATCATCTGGGAAAAATCAGTCCTAGTAAATCAATCATTTTTAAATGATGGTGTTTGCAGGTTTGTTAGCATTGACTGTTGGACTTGGGGACCAGGCGCATGAAATTTTGGAAGAATCAGTCACCCCTCTTTCTCAGGCCCTTAAATCTGGCCGTGACTCCTTGAAAATATCATCGGTATGGATGATTCAATTGTTAAGCAGTAGATAATTTTGTTTTAGGATTCTCAAAAAGCCAATTTCGGTTTCCCTTTGTGGTGATATGTTGCCCTTCATTGCAGATTCTTGAGTGCTTGGCAGTAATCACCTTTGTTGGTGGAACTACTCCAGAAGAGACCGAAAGATCAATGCAAATAATCTGGAAAATGATTCATCCCAAATTAGGTTCTAATGTATGTGTCTTAGCTTGGTTCTTAATTTTGGATCTCAAAACCATTGCTATCTCCTAATGGGTGAAAGAAATTTGGTAGCTCGGTTTAAGCTAGCGACAAACTATGTAGATATAGATGCTTGAAAGAATTGTGAGTAGTCAAGAAAATAAATTACAGAAGTGAAGGTGCTTTCAGGCACTTAATTGATTGTCAAAGTAGTAGAAGATCCTTTTGTGTTTTTTTCCCACTGGGTTTACTGTTCTCGTATTCCATGAAACCCTTTGAAACATTTCACAATCAGTGAACTATATTTCTTGTTATAATCCGCATTTTCCAAGAAAATAGATATATTTCTATTTAATCTAAGAACTTCAAAAACGTGATTCCCGTTTTGTTCCAAAGGATTGATTGATTCTGTTGACGCCTCGGCTCTCTTGTAGGTTGTTGCAACAAAACCTTCACCTGCAGTCGTAACTGCTGTGGTGTCTTCTTGGGCGTTTCTGCTCACGACGGTGGATCAATGGACACTAAGTCCCAAGCTTTGGCAAGAGTAAGTAAAGCTATGGTTCTTTCCGTGATTTTATGTCTTGTTCACCGAATGAGTTATGAATTAGCTTACGAGTTGTTGAAAAAAACTTTTCAGGATAGTTTCATATCTCTCTTCCCTGTTAGATAAAGATGATCGGACCGTACGCATAGCGGCTGGGGAAGCACTTGCCCTGATATTCGAGTTGGGAAATCTCGAGAAATTCTCGGCCGAAGCCAAGCGTTCTAATGGATCAGCTCAAGAAGGAAATGTGTCTCAAGAAGCATTGATGCACATGCATGGCTTGAAAGCAAAAGTCACTAATAAAGTCAGAGATCTTTCTTCAGAGGCGGGTGGCAAAGGTTCTGCTAAGAAAGATCTCAACAATCAGCGGAATCTGTTTAAAGATCTTCTAGAGTTTCTTGAGGTACCTCACCTCTCTCTCTCTCTCTCTCTCTCTCTCTATGCTGCTGTTATATTATTGTGTTGGCCCTTATGCTTGGATCTGTATATGGCTGGTCACTAGGACGGTTACTCTCCTGAAACATCGACAAAAATCGGAGGAGAGTCTTTACAGACGACAACATGGTACCAGATGATACAGGTTTTTTATCTTCTTTTCGACCTTTTTTATGGCATTTTTTTTTTACCAGAGAAGTCTGATCCTTGCTTTTCAACAGTTGAACTTTTTGAAGCATTTCCTAGGGGGTGGGTTTATCAAGCATATGCAGGTTCGTTTTTTTTTATATCGGGTTTTGGTTATTTTCTTTCATCTGTTCATATCTTTGAATGTTGTTGGTTCTTTGGTATCAAAGCTAATGGTTTTTTGTTCAATTATCAGGACAATGAATTCCTCCATGATGTGTTTGGTTTCACTCCAAAGAAGAAGTTTACCGGCGGGGAGCCTCGAATGAGTCAGGGTGAAAAGGTCGGTTTTTTTGGTGGTTTTAGAATAAAATTTTGGCTTTTTCATTTTGTTCTTTCCTCGATTTCCAACCGGTTTAAGTCAAAAAATCCGGAATGCATTCCACCTGTCTTTTTGGTTTGTTTTTTAGGGGTGGGCAAACGGTTCGGCTATATGAAAACTGAACCAATTTATACCCGAACCGAACCTATGAAAATTAAATAACCGTTTAGCCATGAATTTTCGAAACTCGAATAAATCGTAACCGAACTGTTGGTTCTTCCAATGGGTGTTTGTTGTTAAAACTACTGACAAAGTGTTTCATATCCGCCAGAGGATGTTTAAATCACCAAACTCAGCCCTCAACAAAGCAAGAACGCAGTTCCTGAACAAGCAACGGATGTTAGCTGAGGTAATTATATATATATATGTATGTGTGTATGATTATATGCTCAATTCCGAACGTTTTTTTTTTCATTTTTGCGCGTTTTTTTCGTGCAGAGTAAAAACGCCGGCCATTACGCAGCGACGGGGGGTGATTATTACGCCTAAGATATGCATCTGAGATTTTTTTGATCCCACATTGAAAGTTTGAAACTGAAAGGAGCTGAAGAAATTTTAAAAGTTTAGATTTGGTAATGTGAACCCTTCAGGTAACAAAAAAGAAAGAAAGAATGGTTGCTGAATTTACCATTCATTGCCATTGCTAGTCCATGTTGTAATAATTGGGCACACATTTCAGATTTTGTCTGTAGACAGACAGATGCAGTAAGATGCGAGATTGGTGTTTTCATGCATTTGTTATGTGTTCTCTTTGGGACAAAATGACCAATCAAATCCGTTCGGAGTGCCTTATTTTCCCATCTTTATTTCATATTATTTTTGGCTGAGAAATTGATTAGAGAATAGGGGTATTGCGTACCCTGATTTTTTGGGTATCCAGTCTTTGTCTTCGTTTTCACGGATTTTGAAAAGATATTATCCCGCTTTCGTTTTTGTGAAGTCTGGATATCTGCGGTTCGGATACCTGTCGGTGAATTCGATTACGCGAGTATATCCAAATCCATCCAAATCTTTAGAAAATATTGATTTTTGTTGATTTTAGTGGTATTTTAATAATTTAATTTAAAATTATATTTAATATTTATTGTAAATATATTTAAATAATAAGATATAACCGTTATTTTATTCATATCCAGATATCTAAGGTTATCTGTCCTCATATCTAAGGTTATCTGTCCTCGTTCAAACAAAATTCAAACTAACAAAATTCAAACTCGAATCCACAATCTAGAACTTTTGGTTTTACTGAACCCGTTTTCGTCTTTGTTATATATATAACGAGTACACGTATTCCAAGTACCCGTGAGATCGAATACCCGAAAACCCGTGTGTTTCAAATACCCGCGTCCACCCCTATTAAATAGAGAATGTGTTGTGAAGTGGAGAGAAGAAGAACGTTTGTCACACTTCACCAAAAGAATTTGAACAAATAATATGAAATAAAGTCGGTCCATATTGAACAATGTTTGGAAAAATCATTAATCTAATGAAGAAAAAGGAAATGAGATAAATCACATAATAGCTTCAAACCTTTTTCCATGGACAAAATCTATGGGGTCATCCATTAAAAGATGGATCCTTTAAGAGAGTAGTAGCTAGGGTCGACGTGAACACATAGCTAGCTACTGGTGGGCATATCGTTTTTGTCTCGGTAACCCAGATACCCGTGGCTAATGTCGGATATATGTAGATATCGAATCCGCAAAAATTTCAGAAATTTTACGTTGATTTGGGGATTATATTGGAAATTTCACATCTAGATATCGTTTTGTAAACACATAAAAATATTAAAGATATAAACGTAATTCTACTTCTACTTGTTGCCACACATAAACTGCCATGGTTTGGAAAAAATCCGAAACCAAACCCGCAGTTCGGGTTCTTGGCCTTGTTGCACTCTTCGGTCTCGACTTGAGTCCCTGTCCGTGTCCATCCCTAGTTATCGCTTCTCATGTCGAGGGCCTTGTATTGTATTGTATTGGTTTCAGTACTTTTTGCATCGATCAATCGAAGAGGGGATGATAAAATTAAGAACTACATTATTCCGCGAATCAAACGATGGTTATGTGGACTCTACAATGGCATCATCATCATATACGTTTCATCAAAAACAAAACAAAAAACAAAAAAAGCAATCAAGTTTTACATTAGCATGTATACGTATACATATACGTGTGTGTGTATATATATGTATGTATATAAGAAGAAGAAGAAAGATGATCTAAGTGGGGTCGGAGGCGGGGTGGATGGTGGGGGAGTTGTCACCGCGGCGACAAGAGGCGCAGCGTTTGAAGAGGGCGAGGAGGGCGACGAGGAAGAAGAGGAGGCACATCGTCGTGGGAACCATCCACGGCTTGTACCATGGCGGATCCTTTGGGTACATTACCGCCACTTCCTCTTCCATTTCTCCTCTCTTTCTCCTCCAATCCCTTGTTCTTGTCTCATTATTTTCTCTCTTTTTTTTTTATTTTTTTTTGGGGGTGAGGGGAGTCTCTCTTCAGAGAAATTAGATGCCGAGGTGATGTGGGTTTCTTCTTTTGGAGGTATTTTTAGCCTTTTTTGCTATGCGTTATGCCTATTTTTGGCTCTTCCCTTTGCCTCCAAGAAGTTATTTTAAAAAAAAGCGAAAAAGCCTAAAAATTTCTAAACTTGTAATTGGGAGTAATATTAATTCCTAAACTTGTAGAGGTGCCTATTAATTCCCAAACTTGCAAAATTGAACACGTTAAATCATGAACTTGTTAAACGGTTCCATAATCGTCCATAACACTATTTGGTCAAAAAACGAGTTGACCGATCTGACGTGTGCGTGACGTGGCAGTAATTTTTGACCAAATAACCTATGGACGATTATGGAACCGTTTAACAAGTTAATGATTTAACGTGTTCAATTTTGCAAGTTTGGGAATTAATATGCACCTCTACAAGTTTAGAAATTAATATTACTCCAAATTACAAATTCAGAAATTTTTAGGATTTTTTCTCTTTAAAAAAAATAAATGTAATAAAATTAATTATTTGTTGGTGTGGCGTTTATATTTTCTTTCTGAATTTGCCGATATTCCATATGTCGTTGGATTCTGTAGATCCGTTCAATTTTAGCTGGAAACCTTTTATTTTATTTTTTATTTTTAAAATATTTTATTGAAACTTGTAGGATTTCAGACACGGTCGGTCCTATGTGCTGGGAGTCGCAAGTGCAAAAAGTCCAAGATTCTATTGGTAGGTTAAGACAAATTATACATATATATATTTATGTATATGTATATGTATATATGTGTGTGTTATATTTTTGGAGTAACATATTTACTTGATTCAAATATCCAAATGAGCAATCTGAATAAAACAAACACCAAAACCCTAACACCTTCATGTTTACATCTCCTAAACTTGACTGCTTCATATCCCAACAAAAAAAAAAAGCAAAAAAAAAAAAAGGTTCCATAACCTGAAAAACACTAATCCAACGGCCACTTCTATAAATTCCCCATGGCCTTATAAACCGATCCTACGGAAAAAAAAAAGGAACGATGTCTGGAAACCGAAACCTCGAAGCTCCATGCCAAGATTCAGTTATCATGTTCATGCATACATACATATACACTATATATGTATGTATGTATCGTGGGAATTCGATTTACCTTCGTTGTCGTAGCGATCATCATCGATCTTTAGAGTCGCGATAATCAGACGGGAATCATCTTCAGAGCGGCGGAAATTGGCATTCCGAGAAATCCGAGCAAGACGGTGACTAGCCACTGAGCCGACGTTAGGGGCGTAGTATCCGCGAATGCGCCTAAGATCTCGACGATGATTATCTGGAAAACGACCGTGCAAGTCAGCACCCCGACAAACACGTAGTTCTTCAGTATTCCCTTGAATACGTTCGTCTTTTCCATTTCCCTCGAGCTTATCTCGTTGAATACCTTGAAAAAGATGACACCCCCGTTAGTCAGTTAGTTAATCGGTCGTAGACATTTGATGGAATAACGTGTTTTTTTTTTAATTACTACCTGACAGAAGACGAACGTGTTGAAAATCAGCGTATTCAGCGTTAGATCTGAACCTACGACGTTGTTTTCGTCGAGTCCGAAAGCTGACTTTCCTCTTGTCTGAAGATACCATATGACGACAAGCTGGTAAAGAGACTGTCCGAGGATGTTCCTCCACATTACATTGCTTATGAAGTTGCCTTTCCTTCCGACCGGCGATCTCTTCATCAGATCTTCGGTCGGGGGCTCCGTGGCCAAAGCCAACGCCCCGAGAGTGTCCATGATCATGTTAACCCACAGTAGCTGGACAGCCGTAAGAGGTGCATTTCCTGTGAATATTCGCGTAAAGATCTTTGTTAGGGTTCCTGATTGGATCGAGATCGAATCTATCTTAGAAAAAAAATAGATAAAATATCTAAGCTTTGATCAATTCTACGATGATCTCATTAATCCCGAAATACTATCTAAATAATATAATGTCTTAAACCATAAAATTAGGATAATCGAACTAATCTGGGAGTCTAACAGAATGTTTATTTACAGACACGAAGATAAGAGGGCGGGTGGATCAAACTAACCGGTCAGACAGGCGGATGAGAAGTTGACGATAAGCGCCACCACGTTTACAGTGAGCTGGAATTGAACAAACTTTTGGATGTTGATATAGACGGACCGTCCCCATTTAGCCACGGTGACAATTGTCGAGAAATTATCGTCGAGGATAATGACATCGGCACTCTCTTTCGCAACCTGTATGTGAGAGAGAATAACTTATATATAACACAACTCGACGCGTTTCTAAATACATCAACCAGTGTGAATGTACTTCTACTGCCAAATATACGCATGAAGAATAATACCTCAGTTCCAGCAATTCCCATAGCAAGTCCGATATCAGCTTCATGAAGTGCCGGGGCATCATTTGTCCCGTCACCTGTCACTGCAACGACTTCCTGAAACATTGTACGGAGGTGTCTCACCAAAGCATGCTTATCCATGGGTGAAGATCGAGCCATGACCTGCAAAAAATAAATATTAAGCTTAAATACAATGTAAAAGAGTGCTTTTCGCAGGAACATGATGATTCTTTCGAAAACAATATCACGCGGACGTTATCCAAATATAGACATTTGCCACGGAAAGAACACCAAGTTTCCTTTAGATACTAAGCCGTTGATTTTCACCGCCTTGCACAACGCAAATGCCAGAAAACAGTATAATCCAATAACTAACATTTGATATAAAATCAGAGTGTTACCTGCAATTTCGGGATAAGCTCTAGCATTTCCTCTTCAGTTTTCTCACGGAATTCAGGGCCTTCGATAGCTATGCCATCGTCAGTCAATATTCCACACTCTCTAGCAATTGCCTTTGCAGTGGTAATGTTATCTCCGGTCACCATTCTGACAACGATGCCAGCAGATCTGCAAATTGCAACAGACTCCTTTACACCGGGGCGGACAGGATCCTTGATACCCACAATGCCTATGCAAGTGTATCCTTGACTTGGAATAGGGGCTTCTGCCGAGAACTCGTCCCCGATTTCCATGTAAGCGAGGCAAAGAGTACGAAGAGCTTCACTAGCAAACTGTTCGATTACGTTCTTTAAGTGAGTGGAAGATTCTCTATCAAGTTGAGCAACTTCACCATTTTTGTTGATGAATTTGTCACAAGCATCTAAGACTATCTCAGAAGCACCCTTACAATGTGCTCGGAAATGCCCTTCAGGAAGCTCAATAACGACTCCCATTCTCTTCTTTGCAGAGTTGAAGGGCTCAACTTTCACAATACTCAACACTTGCCTTTCGGCTTGGAAGTCTCCTCCGAGCAACATACCAAATTCTAACAGAGCAGCTTCAGTGGGACTTCCCAGTATCTCGGTTTTGTTTCCTTTGCCAGTAACAATTTCACCCCCAGTGTTATTAAATATAGATTGCAGTAGAACTTTAAGGGCAGACTCGGGGATATCAGAAGCAAATTTAAGAGCGGCTTCAGAACCATTTACTTCTTTGACTTCTCCACAGACGCAGGCTTTCACAACTGTCATGTGGTTTGTTGTCAGAGTTCCGGTCTTGTCACTACAGATAGTAGTTGCAGATCCCATTGTCTCACAGGCAGCTAGATGGCGGACGAGGGCTTTGTCATTCATCATCTTTTTCATGGCGAAAGCAAGACTTAACGTCACAGCCAAGGGCAGACCCTCCGGGACAGCAACCACAACAATTGTTACAGCAACAGCAAAATATTCCAGCATTTCCATCAATTCATCACCGGTCCAGGCCCAGTGAGAACCTTCTTGGAGCTTCCGTGTAGCCAATCCTTGGACCAAAACAGCAAATGTAACAACAGCAAAGACTAGACCTATTTTACCGATGATGGTTGCCACTCCATTCAGTTTTACTTGTAAAGGTGTCTCATCATCTCCACCTTCACTGAGCGTGGCCATCAGTTTGCCCCATTGTGTCCTCATTCCAACCGTAGTCACCAACATTTTGCAAGATCCATCCTGAACTTTGGTACCAGAGAGGAGAAAAGGGTTTGTCACATTCACAGCAACGGGTTCACATTCTCCTGTCAAACTGGATTCATTTATCAGAACAGAAAAACCTGAAATAAAAAGTCCATCAGCTGGAACCTGGTCCCCGATACCAAGATGAACAATATCACCAGGGAGAAGATCATATATCGAGATCTTTTGCCTCAACTTGTTCCTGGTAACCTGCACCGTTATCTTTTTCTTCTCGGCATCCAAATCCTTGAACTGCAGAGATTGCTTATAATCACTTGTGGCGGTGACAAACACAACAAGCAGAATACTTGCCACTATTCCAAGTCCATCGTGGGCACCATTTGGCCACCCTTCCATCAGTATACCAACGATAAGTGACACAAAGGCACAGACACCTAGTATCATAAGGGTTGTATCTTGTAGGGCTTCCCAAACAAATAGCCAGAAGCCCCGTGCTGGGCTTTCTGTGAATTTGTTGGAACCATATATCTCTTTCCTTCGACTGAGTAAATCTTCAGATGTATCAATTCCACTTGTAATCGTCGTGGAAAGCTTCTCTGCTACACCCTCAACTCCACCATGAATTTTCAACTTTTTCACATCGTGGCCCTCCACAATCGATCCTAACTCATCTGGACAGATTTCAAATCCTGCCTGCCTTACTTCTTCAGGTACAGTGTACTCGCTGGACAACTTCAAACCTGCAAGCACATGGCATGACCTCGTCAAGGATGGATGATATATCTCATTCTCAGATTAATCAACTACGCTATTCTTACCATTTATGAACTGAAGTGCAGCTTGCGAAACTAGCACCGCCACCCTGAATTTCTCCTGCAGATCAATAGGTTGACATGTATAAGCATATGGTGCATCGTATATCATACTGGAGTAAGGATGTTTTACACTGGAAAGCCACATTAAATATCGGCACACTGTTTCTCAAAATTGTAGTGTTCATGGGATTAATGCTTCTGCACACTATATTATTCAGAGAGCTAAACAGAAGCAAATGTGTTTATCTACAAACCATGCAGAGAACTAAATACAAAACTCCAGTACTTTAGCTTCTTTCTTTCTTTGGATAGTTTTTATTTCACATTTAAAGACACAGATGAAGCTTAAGAAACTATTTCCTTTTTCCTGAATGTTCGTACTAGCAAAACCCACCAACAGACCAAAGCCTCAATTGCTTGTGTTCTTGAAACAACACAAGTACAACAATGTCTTATCTCGTACCAAGGGACATAGACGTTAACTAACCAGGGATGTTTTAGCTTAATGATCCGACAACTCGTAGAAAAGAATCAAATCGATACTAAAACAAACACATATTAGTCAAAACCCATGGCCAAATTAAGTAAGATCCCACAATCCAAACTGAAGAACAGAACAGAGTCGTTTGCTTCACCTCGAAAATGTTTCAAGAATATTTAAGGATCAGCTAACAATAGATCGGCCTAAACAAATTAGTTCCATTAAACAGATTTCACCCAAATAACTCGAAATACATGAACATAGCGGACGTAGATCACGAGATCTCGGATAAAATACAGAAGGAAAACTAGAGACCCAGAGTGAAATATTCTCAGAAGTGACCACAAAACAACCTAACTCGTACGGACGAACTCACCTGATTGGAGCGACGAATCGCCTCCGCCTCGGAACGCTTCGAGAGATTAGCCGTGAAACGGAACCTCCTCTTCGGGTTCTTCACGACCCAACAGAGCTTCCTCCACCTCTGAAGCGCTTCCTCCGACGAATTCTTCGGCTTCACATCGCCGAATTGCTTGTTCAAGTAGGTCTCCATTTCCGGCGAACACGATCCAGTCCTTCCTCCACCTCCGTTCTCCCCAAACCAAACCACAAACGACGAGCAAATCCACAAAGAGTCTACGACTTCAAAACAACCAGATTCAGAAACAAAAACACGCACGGAATCAGGATCTCAAGAATTCGGAACGAAACAGTAGATTCATATGGAGCAAGCAAAGCTTTAAAGAAGAAACAACGAAGATTCCATGGATGATTTCACCTTTTAACTTAAATCGTCAATGTACGACGACGCGTCTTCGCACGAGAAGAATACGAAGAAATCACAGGGAGTGTTCTTCGTCGAAGTTTCCTCTTGCCATTTCAGAAATCGCTTACTGTGATTCGTTCTTTCTTGGGATCTTTTTTTTTTGGCTTTTTTTGTTTTCCGAACTGAATCGGAAGA